TAAATCGCCTTTCACGAACCAGCCGGTGCTATTATAAAAGTTGTAACAGCTTTATTACGGCAGCTCGTAGCGCGGCCGTGCGCGCGCGCGGCTGGAAACGAAAAAATTTTTAATTTCGTAATCGCACAAAGACAGCTTTTGACTTTAAGACTTCGACGAATATTCAGCGTCCTTCTTTGTAGATGCGACGTCGCTCCGACTCTTCTATCGCTTGTAAGACCGAATCTCGAATTCAAAGTTTGATCGTTTGGTCGCCGTAAACAGTTATTTCTGAAGTTTCGTTATCGATCGTTATCGCTTGAACGTTTGCGCAGACGACGAGAAGATTCTTACGGAATGCTCGTAAAATTTCGGTTCAAATTCTCAGACAAAAAAGTCCTTTTTATTTCAACATTTCAATACTTCTTTATTTTAGCACCTTCTGCTTATATATTGACAAAGGAAGGTCCCGAAGTGATTCAATGATTTTGGTTCAAAACTTATGCTGACATATTGTATATGGTATCACTAACAAGGAAACCCCTACAAGTGTCCGCTTCCGATTTTTATAAAGTTGTAATATGTTGTACTTTAGATTAAAATAATAGATACGTTTTTTATATGTCCCTTTCGCAAGTTTAAGGAATGAAATACTCTTTTGAAGAAAATCGGTTTTTTTTCATTCAAAGGGAATATAATGAAAACCATAAGAGATAGAAAAAAATATTTTCAATAAAAGTTGAATGGTTTGAAAAGTACTTTACAGACATTATTTTAATAATTATAATAATAAGAAGTGGTGGGGGAAATATTAACAAAAACATTTTTTTTTCAAATAATTTCTGTAAAGTACTCTTCAAATTATTCAACTTTCAAATTATTTAAAATATTTTTTTCTATCTCTTATAGTTTTCATTATATTCCCTTCGAATGAAAAAAACCGATTTCCTTCAAAGGGCTTTTTCACCCTCTAAACTTGCGAAAGAACACATATAATAAAAATTTGTTATTTTGATCTAAAGTACAACATATTATAAGTTTATGAAAATCGGAGGCAGACATTTGTATGGGTTTTCTTGTAAAACAGAATGCAAGTTACAGCTCCTATCTTTACGATATAACAAAATGGCGGTATAATATATTTTTTATTTTTCAGCTTATTTTTTAAATTTTAAAAATATTAAAATACACAAAAGAATAAAAGTAAAAAAAAAAAATACAAAAAATTAAAAATATAGAAATACAAAAAATCTGTAACTTTGCCATTGCCCAAGCCCGTATGAAAAAAATTGAAGGTTATTAGCAAAATTTTACATATCGCTATATAATTACAAAAAATTTAATCCGATATAAGAAAGGAGAAATAAAAAATAGCCGATCCAATATGGCCGAATCACATTTGAAAAATAAGTTGAAAAATAAAAACATATGTTATATTGCCACTTTGTTATACTGCAAAGATAGGGGCTGTAACTTGCATTCTGTTTTAGTGACACCACATACAATGTGTCAGCATAAGTTTTGAACCAAAACTTGCTAGCCAAAACTTTGAACCAAATCACCACGGGACCTTCCCTTGTGAGAGAAGGAAATATATATGGTTTGAAATCATTGTCACATCTTACACTAAAGAAAGAATTTTGTTGTCGAAACGAAGATTTGATACATACCGAGTAAAAATTTGGTTGAAATGGAGTCGACCAAATGTTTGGCAATTGTAGACGAAAGTTTTTACGTGTGTTTTGCTTTCTCAATAACACATGTACTTGACACAAGTGAAAATATGCCCGCGCAAAATCGTGCGTATCAGATATTTTAGTTCTAAATACAAAAATAATTTTTTCAGACATCAGTTATATTTCTATTTTGCTTTAATGACAAAATAATAATATGCGCGTGAGATTATTATCGGTAATATTATGGCAAGTATAACTCACTACAAGAAATGGTTTCCTTGACTATTATTCCACTGCGCTTCTATAGTTATAGAGAATCTCAAATATTTTTGTTTTCTCAGTGCACGAGACACGAAGGACGCATGTGTGATTTAATGAAAAGCGATATATACATTGG